TATGTTTATTTACAAATGATAAACTGAACATCAATGAGCAGACTGAATGCACAACGAACGAGTGAAATAGGGCTATGCCGACCATCTGACCCAGTCGTGAAAGAGGGGCGTCGTCTTGAGGTGGGGAACACCTTGAGGCGGAAATAGGGGAAATGGACTTTTCTGTTAGTACACCGAATAGAGAACACGGGTCTATAAGCACTCACTAGCGCCACATCTTCACCTGCTGCTATGATGCACCTACGAGATCATCCCGGGATAAATTTGCAAGCTCTGTTCTGCAATGTTTAAAGTCGTGAGAGGAATTATGCAGTGTTGCTACCAGAACAGTTACTAAAAGGGACTCGTAGACAGATCATCTTACAGAGTAGTTAGGAGAATAGTAAAAAAATTGATAAAAGAAGGAAATAACCGTACATCAGCCATTCTATCAAACACCCACAATAACACGCCCTCGTTGATAAAAATCGAAAGTTGCAAACAGAGGCCGCTCTGATTGGAGGATTGCGCATTCAGTTGAATGATTCGCCATAGCGCGGCTGCCGTTGTTGCACCTTGAGCGTCTTGTAGGAGAACATCATCGGGGTCGAGTAAATAACTCCATCATCTCTGACAAGGGTGATTGGCACCTCGGCATCATCACCTCCGAAATCCCAACCGGATGCTTCGTTTTTGATAACCGCATGTGATGGAACTTGGCATGTCAAAGACTCGTCAGATCTGGAAATTTGACTTCATTGACATTTATTTAGGATAACATGTTGCAAACAAACTAAGTGTAAGACAGAAAATTGAAAACGCTCCGGCATTTCGTCATTTGGTGAATTTTAGTACATCAAAAATATATGTTATTCCTAGAAGGATATAGTCACAAACAAGGTATGAAAATTTGAGATCAGCGATTTAGACAGCAAGGTACATCCCATAAACAGACACGCCGATATAGCTTTGGCAGGTATATGCCTCACATTGCTATCTGCCTTGAACTGGTGGTACAGAAATGTTCATGAGGTTAGTCAAAGACAGAGATCGCATATTTGAGTTTATGCAGAAGTAAGCTGGATACGATTAAATATATTTTAAGGTACTTAATGAGCTGAGGAGCAAAGCTACAATGTGAAGTTTATAACCAGGCTTTTCATAAACCCCTATGTATCTATCTCAACTGGTGCACATTGCTCAAACAACTTAGTGGTTCAATTTGATAATACAAAACATTTTTACTTGAAGGAAAAATCAATACCGAAATTAAGGAAATCAGACCAATGATCATTGTTGTCATTCCATACTTCAAGTTCTTCCGTCGAATTTTTCCCATACTTCAACATTTCGTCATTTTTTTCCCTCCGATGATAGGGGAGATAGCGCCGTATGGCTCTGACCGCCCGCACTGTGTGGATCTATGTGGCCAGTTCACAACTGAGATTATCAGAGGATGCTTAGATGTTACGTAGACCGTTCGATAATATCACTACTGTTTTTGAGCAAACTACAATACCGCTCATAACTTTTGCAAAAGAAACGTGATTTTACATAAAAATCCGTCGCAAGCGTCGCA